ACTGTCTACTCAGTCTGTTTCTCTCCTGATGGAAATACATTAGCTTCTGATAGTGATGATAAGTCTATTCGTCGATGGGATGTCAAAACAGGATAATAAAAAGCCAAATTAGATGGTCATAGTGGAACTGTCTACTCAGTCTGTTTCTCTCCTGATGGAAATACATTAGCTTCTGATAGTGATGATAAGTCTATCCGTCTTTGGGATGTAAAGACAGGATAAGAAATTAAATCCTCTGATAATAAATATAAAGATATTCTTACCTAGTTTAAAATACCACTATAGAATAGCTCATTATTATCAAATGGTATTTGTTATTTATTATTATTTAGTTGAGCCAGATCGTACAATACTAAGGATTTGTCAGAATCCTTAATTAGAAGCAAGAGGTACACTTATATTGTATGGAGAATTTATAAATCATTAAGGAAAAGATTTAAAACCTTTATTCAAATCAAAAGGAAGTTGCTTTTTGGAAGATCTTAAGTAAAAGTGATAATTATTTTTCATTAACAACAATTACAATTATTATTAAAATACTCATTCCTAATTTTTTTTTATTTAATCTTGTTTTTGTTTTCTTCATTATCTTCATTTTTTAAGATAGATAATTACATGCTTTTCAAAAGTATTCCATTTTAAGGAAATGTAGAGTAGGGTATATTTATTGAGACCTTCTTAACAAAAACTGAACATTTATAGAGATTTAATGTTAAATGATACTACATTAAATTAATAATCCAAACAGAGAACAGTATGCACAGATTTGAAAGGATTAAAATAAAGATTAATTTTAATTACTTAATTGAAAACTAACTGCATGATTATTTTATAAGATATTCTGATTATTTATTTAATTTATTACTATTTATAAACATAAGTCTTAATAGATATAATTAAGAATTTTGTAAAATTAATTTATAAATAGTAAAAGATATATTTAATAACAAAGATAATAATAAAAAAGATATGACAAGAATTAAAAAAATAAAGTTAATCTTAGAATATAATCTAAACTA